CTGGGAGCCGTGCCCACCCCTCCCCTGTGCCTGTGTCTCACCTGCAGGTTGTGCCTGTGCCCACCCCTCCCCTGCAGGTTGTGCCCACCCCTCCCCTGGGGGCCGTGCCCACCCCTCACCTGCAGGTTGTGGTCGTGCCCGCTCAGGTAGGCGCTGACGCGGTGCCGCCGCAGCAGCGGCCGCAGCAGGCGCAGCAGGCAGCCGGTGGGGCCGTGCTTGGCCACGGACCAGAGCGGGTAGTGCCCGGCCACCAGCACGAAGCTGTCCCCGGCCGCCGCCTCCAGCTGCGCCCGCAGCCAGCCCAGCTGCGCCGCCGCCGCCGCCGCGTCCCGGGGCCCCGCGGGGCCCGCGCCGAAATCGTCGCCGTGGCCGCAGAGCAGCACCGAGTCCAGCACCAGCAGCCGCGCCGAGGCGTTGGAGCCCGGCAGGTGCAGCCGCAGGCTGTAGTACGGGTGGGGGAAGCGCCTGGGGACAAGGGGGGACACTTGGGGACACCTGGGGACATCTGGGGACATCTGGGGACAGCCCGGCAGGTGCAGCCGCAGGCTGTAGTACGGGTGGGGGAAGCGCCTGGGGCAGAGAGGGGACACTTGGGGACACCTGGGGACATCTGGGGACACCTGGGGACATCTGGGGACACTTGGGGACAGTGTGGGGACACTTGGGGACATTTGGGGACACTTGGGGACATTTGGGGACACAGGGGACACCTGGGGACAGTGTGGGGACACCCCAGTACAAGGTACAGGCTGTAGTACGGGTGGGGGAAGCGCCTGGGGCAGGGGGGACACAGGGGACATCTGGGGACACTCGGGGACACTTGGGGACACCTGGGGACAGTTTGGGGACACCTGGGGACACTTGGGGACACCTGGGGACAGTGTGGGGACACTTGGGGACAGCCCAGCAGGTGCAGCCGCAGGCTGTAGTACGGGCTGTAGGACGGGTGGGGGAAGCGCCTGGGGACAGTGTGGGGACACAGGGGACACTTGGGGACATCTGGGGACACCTGGGGACACTTGGGGACAGTGTGGGGACACCTGGGGACACCTGGGGACATCTGGGGACATCTGGGGACACTTGGGGACAGCGTGGGGACAGCGTGAGGACAGCCCAGTACAAGGTACAGGTTGTGGTACGGGTGGGGGAAGCGCCTGGGGACAAGGGACACTTGGGGACACCTGGGGACAGTGTGGGGACACTTGGGGACACTTGGGGACATCTGGGGACACCTGGGGACAGTGTAGGGACACCCCAGTACAAGGCACAGGGTGTAGTACGGGTGGGGGAAGCGCCTGCGGGACATGAGGGCACCTGGGGACACGGCAGGGACATGTGGGGACACGCCAAGCAGGGCTGGGACACGCAGCGGGGGCTTAGGGACAGGCTGGGGACAGCCAGAGGGGACTTGGGGACCCTTTGGTGACCCTTGGTGACCCTCAGGGACCCTCAGTGACCCTTTGGGGACCCTCGGGGACACTGGGGACCCTCGGTGACACCGGGGACACTGGGGACCCTCGGTGACACCGGGGACACTGGGGACACTCTGGGGACCCTTGGTGACCCTCGATGACACTGGGGACCCTCAGTGACACTGGGGACCCTCGATGACACTGGTGACACCGGGGACACCGGGGACATGGGGGACCCTCGGTGACACTAGGGACACCGGGGACACGGGGGACACTGGGGACACTCTGGGGACCCTTGGTGACCCTCGATGACACTGGGGACCCTCAGTGACACTGGGGACACGGGGGACACTGGGGACACGGGGGACCCTCGGTGACACTGGGGACCCTTGGTGACACTGGTGACACCGGGGACACTGGTGACACCGGGGACCCTCGGTGACCCTTGGTGACACTGGGGACACGGGGGACACTGGGGACCCTCGGTGACCCTCGGTGACACCGGTGACCCTTGGTGACCCTTGGGGACCCTCAGTGACCCTCGGTGACACCGGTGACACCGGGGACACTCTGGGGACACGGGGACACGGCCGTACCAGCGCGGCGAGTGGCGGCTGTAGCGCAGCTGCCCGGTGACGTTCCCGGCGTGGTCGTGGTTCCCGGCCATGACGAACCAGGGGACATCGCGGAGCGCCGGGGACACGAACACGCGCTCGAAGGTGTCCTGGGGACAGGGGGGACACCAGGGGGACAATGGGGACACCATGAGGACACCAGGGGACAATGGGGACAGCAGGGGGCCAATAGGGACAATGGGGACAATGGGGACACCAGGGGGACACCAGGGGACAATGGGGACACTGTGGAGTGATGGGGACACGAACACATGCTTGAAGGTGTCCTGGGGACAGGGGGACAGTGGGGACACCAAGGGATAGTGGGGACACGGGGGACACCAGGGAACACCAGGGGGACAATAATGGGGACACAGGGGGACCCCAGGGGGACACCCCAGGGACAATGGGGACACGGGGGACAATGGGGACACCATGGGGACAATGGGGACAATGGGGACACTGGAGCGCCGGGGACACGAACACGCTCTCAAACGTGTCCTGGGGACAGGGGGGACACCATGGGGACACCAGGGAACACCAGGGGGACACCAGGGGACAATGGGGACAATGGGGGACACCAAGGGGACACCACGGAGCAGCAGGGACACGAACACACGCTCGAAGGTGTCCTGAGGACAGGGGGACACCAAGGGGCCAATAGGGACAATGGGGACACCAGGGGACACCATGGGGACACCACAGGGGCAATGGGGACACTGTGGAGTGATGGGGACACGAACACATGCTTGAAGGTGTCCTGGGGACAGGGGGGACAGTGGGGACACCAAGGGATAATGGGGACACGGGGGACACCAGGGAACACCAGGGGGACAATGGGGACACCGTGGGAACAGTGGGGACAATGGGGACACCACGGGACACCCTGGGGACCCCCTGGGGACAGCATGGGGACCCTGGGGACACCCTGGGGACCCCGGGGACACCCTGGGGACAATGGGGACACCACAGGGCCAATGGGGACCCTGGTGACACTGGGGGCACACTGGGGCCAATGAGGACACCAGGGAACAATGGGGACAATGGGGACCCCCTGGGGACCCTGGGGAGCCCCTGGGGACCCCGGGGACAGCATGG